AAGCGCGAAATCTGCCTCAAGAAATATTTAAATTTACAAGTACTACAACATAGGACAATTCACACTGCACAATGTGATCTAAAATTAAGCAGAGCTTATATTATGGGTACTAAGCAACTAATAGAAATACTTAAATAGATTTATTTTTAAAATACACACATAATATATGTATATAAAATATCAGCAGACAAAATGCCTTTGACTATGTTATCAGAGATTAAAATTGCAAGGATATTTATTTTTATTTTTTTATCTATATTGGGCACACATTTCTAACTATAGGTAAATATGAGTACAATAATATTTAAATATACTTAGTGCACAATTTCAAATATGAACTTAGTATTTAGACAATATTTTAAGGCCTTGGTTAAAAATCGTTTGGCTATCTTAACTTTGGGATCTTTATAGTGATTCCGGTATTTTAGTGTTTTAAGTAATGATAGCATCTTTTGATACTTACATTAATTGTTTTAATAATTATACTAAGGTGTATACACAAATTACGCTGTATATCCACAATTGACTTTTATAAAAATATATGTGTAATAGTAATTCACTTTTTAGTATATACAGATTTACTTTGAGGTATTTCATTAATTCATTATGAAAAGTAATATATCTTTTTTATAGATTAAAATTGTTCATAATGAATATATTACAGTTAAGTTCTTAGATAACATGCTTAAATTTTATTAAAATCATTATTGTTTAAATGCTTATACCTGAATTATTTATATTACGGCGCATTCCTCACGGACCAACTTATTACTAAAACACTCAAATAACAGGCAATAAATTGTGTTACTCAATAAAACATGTATTTTTTACTGCTTACCATGTATTTAATTGCTGCATGGTATGCAACAATAGCATAGTTTTAGTCTATTGTTTGAATTTTATGATTTATTTACTATTTGCTTGTTATTAAGATAGACTATATCACTTAAAATAATATATTTTTCTCAAAATTTTATATTATCAAAATTATACAGTTTTATGCAACTTAAATTCAAGTGACCATTATGCAAATATTGATATAGCAATACGATATACACAAGTGCGATTATTTGTATTTAACTAGGTGCTTTCTATGTATTTTTATACATCCATTTACAGAAAACATGTGTTTAACTACATCTAGATTTTTTAATGCTCACAATACAAGCTCTGCTTAGTTTAGATGTAGAGTTTGGCAATATATCTGTGGGTCTGAGCGTGTTTTATTACTTCGAGTTTTCCTTCTGTTTTAATTGTGTAACATAATAGTAATGTGTACTAGTTAGCACATTTAGTTTAATAAATACTGGTAACATAGGTATACTTCAATTCATTGCTACCTAACCTTTTTATCATTCTTTACTTTGATCCGTTCTGTGATGGTTAGGTATTATTTTTAACTGGATTTCTCAAAAGAATATATTAAATGTTGTTTTCATGTTAGGATTGTGACTTATTTTAATTTTATATGTTTAACAAAATATCTTGACGTTAGCTTATTTGCTATTCTTTTTTATAAAATCGTTTATTTACATGATATAAATTCTTGATTAAGCAATGAAAATCACATTGAAAAGGAAGGAAATTTAACACAATTATTCCTAGTAACTTAATAAATTATCAATTAAAAATTAATTATGAGGTTGTAACCAAAGTCCAAGTATTAATGAGTTGCCATACCTTGGCCTTCTTATGTTAATTACAAATAAAGATATCTAAACGAGATGATTTATTTGACCAATATTAGGATATGATTATCATAAAATTACGATAATACCTCGTCATAGTCATATATTATGTATAATAAATAAATATCACTGTCTGTATTTATGTTCAATATAATTATTGGTTATGGATCTATTACGTGACAGTATTTAATATCTCTGGTGGTATAACTATTCCTTGAGAGGCAATTCAACTCATTACGGATTCATGCTGATAACTCATAGTGACCACTTTTTAAAACCACTCATTCTTTTCTTTTTTCATTAGTAACGTTAGAAGGGTGACTTGCTTAGTAACTATAGCAGTCGGTGAAGGCTTCACATAAAGTACTTAATGATTATTATTGATAGCATAGATTGAAATAGTGTGCGATCCATCTTGAAATCCGTCGAAATTTTAGTCGAGACGTCCAGTAAGTATTAGTATATTCCATGTATCCAAATGAACGAGATTTTTCTAGGCTATTTAGTGTGAATGACCAACAAGTTGACCACCCGCGGTTTAGAATGTGATGACAGTTACTTAAAAACGAGAGTAAACATCATGTATATTGTGATGGTGTATTTCGTTTTTAATAAGATATATGTTCTACTATTCTTCGAGACTCATGAATAATCACGAACTATTAATTATCTATAATATTACCTACTATAATGAAAATTTTCACGACTTCTCAACAACGTCACAATATACGTGAGAGGTTACAAATTAATCTGTTATAATTTTGTGACGTATCTCCATTGACGTAAGGATCAGAATCGTATAAATTTGATACGTATGAATGAAATCGTGTCATATCATCTTTCGACAGATTTTACCCAACCGCATAATTAGTTGTAAGATGGCCTATGAACTTAGGAGTTTAATTCTACAAATTATGATATCCGTGTATTACTCGGCTTCAGTAACAACTTTATTACGATTATTTTATTAATATACAACACGTCCATCTGTATGTTAGCGCAATATAGTGTAGCTGTATATGCACAAACTTTCATTATACATTTCATCCCATTCCAGATTAGTTTTTCACATAAAAGCTTCTGTCTCTCCTCGTGATACCTTATTCAGGTTAAATTCTATTAAGATCTGTTTTTGTTTGCTAGATTTTTATGTTTTCTAGCTGTTACTTATTTGTTTCTATACTTCTATATATTATTACTTGCGTCTGCGAAACTTGGTCTCATTACGCCTAGAGGTTACATATTGTAATATAATATTTTGGATACTTATATACTATATATGTCACATATGATTGTTAATATTTTAAATACGGAAGTAATTGGTTATCTTGGAATTCGTGCTATCTTAAAATGTTTAAATCTTAACTTAACAAGTGTTATCTAATGATGATAATTAGGACACACTGACAAATATTATGATATATAAGTATACTTTATTAGCTATTCACTCTCACATGTGCTATTCTGTTCAGATTTTTGCTTGTATATATATGTTATCTGACGACGGGAAAAATGTGAAAAAATAATATATGTAAACAATACAATCAGCTCTATTATTCAGATATTAATACTGTTTAATTTTTAATCTTAATATTAAAGACACAATATAAGAATAGATACAATTCTCTATTATCTAACAGAAGTTTGTATGTTGATCATGTTTATTAAGACCCTGAATGTTGGCGTGGTCAATCAACTGTGTTTTAGTACATTACAAACATACTGAACTATGTTTACACTTTCCATTTTCAAGTGGATTCTACTAGAAACGAATAGTTTCGATCGTAATAAATAAACCCACATAATATTTGTGGTTATGCTTATAATTTTGTTAGTTGATAATGGTATTTAGTTTTCCATTATTTTTATTTACATATATATTCTGACCACTTTTCCTTTTTTTAATAGAATACGTACATTCGTAATTTTGGTACAATACGTTCATTTGATTTTTAGTCATTCAATAGATTGATTAAAAAATTCATGACATATATACATACATTCTAACCAATATTTAGTTGTATATAGTTACGAGTTCTATAAATTTTTTGGCATACTTGGTGATAATGTCGGCTCAATTAATGACTCAATTAAGTAAAATAAACATACTCAAATCAACAGATATTAAAAAAATACCTTTATCTTTATAATATAAATGTAAATTGATTTCATTTACAGATAATTCAACCACAAATATAATTTAAAAGAATTTTAGAGTTAAGAGAGTTTTGCAAACTACTAGACAAATAGTTCAATGATTCAGCTTAAATATATTTCATCTCGCGTTCGGACAGTAAAAGTTAGTTTGTTTTCTTAAATGAACTTTGAATTCTCGTTCCATTCGAGATTGTCTGAGAAAGGTCATTTGTCTTAAATCGCAAATTGTTACATAAAAATAAAGACCACCCATCTAGCTCCTATCATAACGTGATAACTGTACTAATCATTGTTTTCGTTTCGTAGATACGATGACGTTTTACGACTTAAAACTAGTAGCCTCATAAATATGAATGTTGTTACTTGATAAAGACCTGCTTTTAATATAAATTAGACAAATATGCTGACGAATGTAATATAAATTTGCGGTGAATGACATAACGTTTTATTTAGATTTATGTACATATATGTATGTAACCAATTTATTTCACAAGAGGAATATTTGAATGATTTATCAAATTATTCCCCACTACTGAAATTTATCTTATCGATTATTATATTAACGAGTTAGACTGTGTAAAATATTATCTGTGTAGGTACCTCAGTTACTTTGTAAAATTTGTTCTGGTTGAAAATTGGAAATAAGGCAGTGAAATTAAGGGATAACAGATATGATATCTTAGTTAGTGATATCACAGGCACACATGATGTGTGTAGTGCTGTTCACGTATATAGTCGAGTATTACCACTTGCCATCAGATGATCTATCGACTTGTTTGCCATTCCCTACATAAAAAATTTGACAGTCTCGGAAATTGAAACTATACAATAGAGTATATCGGTATATACGGCGACCAGTCATCTCAAACAAGACGATATTGCTCGTATACATTTCAATTTTATTTATTGATTTAAAGCAGTACGAGAAAGTTTCCTTTACCATCATGACAAGTATTAAAAAGATTCACGATAAATGTCTAATATTATCCGTACTTTTAGAAAAAGTTGGATAAAGCATATTTATTATTTGAAATATAAAAACAGTAATTGATTCTTTCGTTAAACCTCGATTACGTAGGTGATCAAAATACTATACATTATTCAATAATAATTAAGTGACTTGATTTTATTAAACCTTTTTTTGTTCTATTTCAGGTTACCACAGCTTGCCGTCTCTGCAAAGATATTGTGCCTCCTGATGGTATGTTTGTTTAGATAATAATTTCTAATTTCATAAACTCCATTGCCCGCTACATCATCTACATAAACTTTCACCCCCTTCTTGATTAGTTTTTAAGATAAAAGATGGCCTCTATACAGTCTCGTTATAACTTTTACCTTCATGCCAAATTTCATGAAAATTGGTACTATCATTTTATCGTGAAAATGGACTTACATTTGCGTTTATAATATTATTGCTGGACTTACTGATAGCTGCATATATATATGTATTTCTAAAAACATGATATATATTTTGTGGCACTGCACGCAAGCACGGGCAGTAGATAATTTTTAGTGTAATGTATTAAGTTAAAAAAAACTATAAGAGCGTATAAAATAAATCAACAAACAAATATATATTTTTTTATAGACAATATTGGAGATATCCTCCTAAAATTTAAGAAGTAGACTTCCAAAACACCCTTCGTTTTGGAAGTCTACTTCTTAAATTTTAGGAGGATATCTCCTACAGGGATTATTTCTCCTACTAGGATTACATCAATTCAATATTGTTTTTATTTAGTCTAACGTGACTTACTAACGAGTAAATCTCGTCGGTTGAATGAAATGAAACAATAATAATACATAATTGTAAATTGAGTCATTAAATCAATAAGATAAATTTATATGTGATTAAACTGGCTACCTATTTACGTAAATTTCAGTTTTATGAGTCTGTAATCTATAAAGACATTGTACCCGGTGATAAGTTTATTTATAAATATCTGTCCACACCGATAAAATAGAATGATATTCTCTTTTTTACTGCAGTTATGCTCCACATCAGTCCCAATTTTGATGATTCTTTTTGCAACTGTTAGTTTTTACTTATAAGTTGATATCATGTAAATTTTATTAAGAATGAATACGATTTTTTCTAAATCTTATTTTAATTTCTTTTTAAAAAGTCGGCATTAATAGGTCGATAGACAGTGAGGGGTGAAGGAAAGGTCTTTAACATTTCGTTGACCTTTGACCAACTCCAACTGGGATTACTTGTGTATTATATAATATTGTTTAGTATATATTATATATCAGAACGATTTAATAGTTGAAATCAATTTAGTCGTTGTCTAGTGATTTCCAGCCACGACTTATACTAAAAGGTCGTTAGTTTGAGTCTTGTTCTGCGCTCAAGTAAAGTTTTTTTTAGTATGACTGGACTAAAGTAAGAAGACTTTACGTGGCTACTTCTATTGCTGACAGACTTTCTGATTATGGAAATAAGAGATAGAGGGTTTGTCCCCCTCCGTCCTCCAACAATTTATTTTCTAATATACTCTTAGAAATGAAAACATGTTAAATGTGTGTTCACCAAGACGTTGGTTGTTGATAATATGTCTGACTACCTAATTTGGGATAACAGCCGTGAAGGTACATTATTATTTTCAAATTAATAAGAGCAAGTTTGTGATAAGTAAGTTTCTACTTAATTATATGAATCATCGCACCAGTCTTTAAGCTCGCCTCCTATCATTTGCTGTTATTATGCTCACAATCTACGCCTGATGAAGAAATTTACCTTATTGAATTGAGTTATTAACTATTTTATACTATTAAATGTTGCACATAAAACTGCCACCTCGGTGGCCAGGTAACGCTATAAAATTATTATAGGATAACGGTATTAAAAATAATTAAGGTTTATTAATTAGTGAATTAACATCTTCTGTATTAATTTCTATATTTAATTGATATTATTTATCTACTATGTTATGTTTTTTAAATCAGTTTTTTTTTATCTATATATACAAACATGAATTCATGTTTCACTTGGTTACAATATCACGTGTGTATAGCTAGAGCGATTTCTCTAATTCGGCTTTTATTGTTTTTGTTATTGCCTAAAGAAATTCGGATATATGCGCGGATTTTTCTTTATTTTAATAATTATATCAAATGTTATGTACAAACACGATGTTAATAAATGAACCAAAGAACATTACAATATTTTTTTCTCACAAGTGTGCAAATATTTATTTGTGACGAGTTGAACATTGAACATAATAAGATCAAATCACGGAATATTACAAGACATTACATTTAGCATATGCGTTGCGTTATGTAGAAAAAATGACACATGAATTACGAACCACTAAACTGATCATAAAGTGTGCAACACGACAAAACAACTAGTAAAAATAACTGATAAAATTTGTATTAGAAAATATATCTGTATTCAATTGCATTTTCGAACTTCAAATTAGCACTTATCATGTTTAATAAATGATTATTTAATTATCAAAGTCAGTTCACATAGAATAAAACACATAAATAAATCAAGTCGAATTAATAACCTCTTTTTTTAAATGTCGGTTGAAGAACCTCCTCGTTCTTAATTCCACTGGATTTCCTTTCTCCATAGTTTAATAAAATTTATAGTATTTACCTATGCATTCTGACTATATCAAAATTGCGACTATTTCTAGTCGGGCGTAGTAATGGAATTTTTATTTAATAACAACGGGAACAGTTCGAAATGCCTGCGATTGATTATAGTTCTGTAGTCGTGATTTTCTGAGACCTATAGTCGTGAGTATCATTTTGTATTTTGTTTTTATTATACTATTGAAGATTGACAACATATAAATTGTCTTGTTTTTATTAATTCATATTTTATTGTAAGTAGTAAATATTATCAAATTCAAGCGATGTGTAAGCAATACATATCATTGTTTACATTAAGTGTCGAGTATGTGAGGATAAAAACATATTAACGATATAAACAAAAACAGACGATATAAAAATAATGGAATATCATTGTAGGTATTATTATTATACCAGTTAATAATCTTTAGTAGAATATATTAAATTATAGTTTCAATCATTAAACACTGCATTCCTTTAATGCTAATTTACACGTACAAAGTAATGGGATATGTAGTAAAATATCATTTTAGTTAATTAATAAATGACCTTCTTGATACTTTGTGTTCATTCAACACTTTGCTATGTAACTAAACTATAACTGAATAATAAAAAAAATAGACTAGAAACTATTGCAATCATGTAAGTATACGTATAATTTCGGCAATGAACAGGAAAAACTTTTCTTTGAATTATTAAGAATATTTACTTTTAAATATCGTGACTCAATTTATAAAATTTATGGTAATTAAAACTTTACATAATACCTAAGAGTAGTCATATATTTGCATTCGTCGTGTGAGATTGTCACATGACGTTGTAATTTACAAGTTACTCGTACATTTGCGTCAAAATGTACATTATATGTACATACGTACTATTTGGTTTACGGTGCATGCGTGCACGCAATGTGAATTGCTCGGTTCTTTTATACTATCTCTATCTTTATTATCTTCTTTATCTTTTACATAAAATGAAATCGTAAACTCCTGACAGGCGAGCACTTCTTCGATTCCTGCATAAAGTAAGATCTAAAAAATACGACCGAATGCTCTAAAGTTCTCGTAACTATTTGGGATAAATACTTTTAGTTTCAATTAAACCGAAAGAAGTAGAAGAAGAAGTAAAATGGCTGGAGAAATTTGGATTTAATTTTTTAATATATTGTATTGTAAATAAAATTGGAAAAAGTACCCTTCAAACAAAGCATATTATTATACTGAAGATTTTAATACACTACAAAAGAATTTATAAATTCATTAATCAAGTAATATGTGGCATCGTAGATTCATTATTTACTATTCTCGTCTGATTACCATCAATATATAGCGGTCCACTAATGTACACACATACGAAATCGTTCTACTAGTATGTACAAAAATTATAGAAATACGAGTAGACGAGTAAATAAATAGATAAGTATACTTACAAAGATTCGCTATTCTATATGTCAGTATGATAGAGACATGTTAAGAGCACGTGCTGTGTACCTAAGCTAGGAATTATAATATTTACATACCTACAGTGAGACGACAAATGTCTGAATAGCAAGATATAAATATAGTTCATTAACATCAATGTGCTGTATGTATGTTTTGACTAAAAGCTTTCTATTTCGGTACATTCATGTTATAACATTCGTAATTTTGAAGTATTATTTTCTACAATTGTCTATTGTTAACTTTTTATATTATGTAACCAAAATAAGACAAACGTACGGCCCGCCTAATGATAAGTGATAACCTTCACCTATATAGATAAAAAGCATGGTGGACATCAAGGCATAATGTAACGCCGTGGTACGGTAATCACGAATTGCCATTTCGGAGGACTATAATACTAAGCCTACGCTAAGCTTACGTAGCTTTAATTTCACTGCCTTATCTCAACCTTCGACAAAAACACATTGGCATCTGCAATAGGTATCAACCTAGATACCGCACAGACGACTTTGTACAAATTCTACCTTGGTATATTATTGAACTAGCTATGTATGTACATCATCACTTAACATCAGGTGAGATTGCGGTCAAACGCGCTCAAATTATGATATAAAAAAAAAATATTTTGACTTATTCAGTAACTACTCAAACGGGGATCGATATTACGACGGCCTGAGCCGAGGTTCGAACCCCTAGTGGTGCCCTCAGACTAAAGTCGTATCCGTCAGGAGGGAGTTGGCCTTCAGCCGGTACATATGTCCTTCCGCGGGTTTGGAGTGCCATCTGCACACGCCCCCTATCGTCCGGTGAAGCTGTAATGGCTGCGGCCAACAGCATTAGAGTAGTCTGAAAAAAAATCTATAACTACTGAATCAGAATCATTTTATTTATGTCATTGTGCTGTGGGATAACCATTTGTGTAAGATTAAGAAATAAGGATTTTATGATTATGTTAGTAATTATTCTTTGACTATTATTAAGTCTATACATATATTGGTACATGTTCATCGGATCGTTAATCGCGGCCTGACCGTTCGATCAGGCCGCGATTAACGATCGATGACGATGATGCCTCGTTTAAAGGCGAAACACGTGTCGTAATATGACTTTAGACTTAATAACAGTTGAAGATTAATCACTACATTGATGACCATCCATGTAATGAGTACTG